ACGATGAGCATAACTTTGTATGTGGCTGGAATAATCTTATACCATTTGTGACATAATAAAAAAAAATAAAAAAAAAACTCGAAAATTTTATGGACCCCCCATGAGTGGGAAAATAAAAAATGACTCATGACATCGTAATGACACGATTCGTTATAAACAAACCATACGCCAGGCGGGGTTAGACCCCGGATGAATTTTATAGCTAGGCTAGCTCCCCAGTGTGCTAACGCGTCCGTCCTGGAGTTTTATGACTCTGACTCGCGGGGTTCTAACCCCACCATTGGTCATGGTTTGGAATAAAACAAGCAATGGCATTATCGGTGAATAATTTTATATGCTCTTGATATATGGCAGCAGAGCTGACTACTAAGTCAGGTGTTATCCCAGTGAACAACCGTTTTTTAAATTTTCTTGCGGACCACGGCTCAATGTTACCCCGTTCAAGGGTGTGACCCCGCGCTCTACACCTGATATTGGGTCTTTGTTGTATTATGGTCCTTCTTCTCAGGTTCTGTGCTGAATTACAGCTCACAGTGAGTGAAATATGTCCATAATTAATATCATTCCTGCACCGAAGAATATTATTACGCAAAAGCTCGTTATTAAACACTTGTAATGAGAGTTGGTTTGAAGCAGCTCTCTTTAGATGAACGATGATTAACCTCTCGCATTAACTAACATTTCATAATTTTCCATACTGCTGTTGTGTTATTGTCATTATGACGGTACTTTCCATTTACAACCAATGAATGAGTCGTTATGACAAACACCCTTGTCAAGTGACGTTTTGTAGTGACGAGTAAACTAACAAGAAAATTGTGTTGTATGTTGTGTAAGACTGTAAATGACAGTGATAATACGTTGCCGAAGTTAAAGAAAAAATAATGAGTGTAAGGAGCAAGTATTACTTGTATGATTTACGCTTGTTGGTGTTGGATCAAAGACTTTAATAATATAACGAACGCAGGTGAGGTCTTGTGACCCTGTACACCTGTTGGTAAACAAATCAGCAAGATATTCTAGCAGTAGTGTAGTGACGAAGCAGAAGACACCAGAGAAGAACTTCTTAGAACTTCATCAAATATATATTACAAGTAATTTACAGTATATGCAGCAAGTATTTACAACAAGAAAATCGCAAACAAGAATTGGTGGGTTTTCATGTGACGAACCAGCAATTTGCATAGCAGTAGGAGCCCCTACTGTTATGCTCTTAACTGCTGGTTCACTGGTCGGGAGGACACGCCTATATGGGCGTGTGACATACCTCGAGTAAATTGTAATATACTCTTTGCTAACCACAGCTAAGCTTATCTAAACACCAGAGAGCTCTCGCACGAGCGTCACAGAACAGCACCACCATAGGATCAGTGGTGACATATGATAGTGGTTATTAGAGTTCTAGAGTTAAGAGAAACCATGTGTGTGTGTGTGTGTGTGTGTGTGTGTGTGTGTGTGTGTGTGTGTGTGTGTGTGTGTACTCACCTAATTGTGCTCACCTATTTGTGGTTGCAGGGGTCGAGACTCAGCTCCTGGCCCCGCCTTTTCACTGATCGCTACTTGGTCCTCTCTCTGCTTCCAGAACTTTGTCATACCTCGTCTTAAAGCTATGTATGGTTCCTGCCTCCACTACATCACTTGTTAGGCTATTCCACTTCCTGACGAATCTATGACTGAAGAAATACTTCCTAACATCCCTCTGACTCGTCTGAGTCTTCAGCTTCCAATTGTGACCCTTTGTTTCTGTGTCCCCTCTCTGGAACAACCTGTCTCTGCCTACCTTATCTATTCCACGCAGTATTTTGTATGTCGTTATCATGTCTCCCCTGACCCTCCTATCCTCCAATGTCGTCAGTCCGATTTCCCTCAACTTTTCTTCGTAGGACATACCCCTGAGCTCCGGAACTACCCTTGTTGCAAACCTTAGCACTTTCTCTAATTTCTTGACGTGCTTGACCAGGTGTGGGTTCCAAACTGGAGCTGTATACTCCAGCATGGGGCTGATGTACACAGTGTACAGTGTCTTGAACGATTCCTTACTAAGGTATCGGAACGCTATTGTCAGGTTTGCCAGGCGCCCATATGCTGCAGCAGTTATCTGGTTGATGTGTGCCTCCGGAGACATGCTCGGTGTTATGGTCACCCCAAGATCTTTCTCCTTGAGCGAGGTTTGCAGTCCTTGGCCACCTAGTCTATACTCTGTCTGCGGTCTTCTTTGCCCTTCTCCGATCTTCATGACTTTGCATTTGGCAGGGTTGAATTCAAGAAGCCAGTTGCTGGACCGCGTGTCCAGCCTGTCAAGGTCTCTTTGAAGACCTGCCTGATCCTCATCTGATTTAATTCTCCTCATTAACTTCACATCATCTGAGAACAGGGACACTTCTGAGTCTATCCCTTCCATCATGTCATTCACATATACGAGAAATAGCACTGGTCCTAGGACCGACCCCTGTGGGACCCCGCTCGTCACAGGTGCCCACTGTGATACCTCATCCCGTACCATGACTCGTTGTTGCCTCCCTGTTAGGTATTCTCTGATCCACTGCAGTACCCTTCCTGTTATACACGTCTGATCCTCTGATTTCTGCACTAGTCGCTTGTGAGGAACTGTGTCGAAAGCCTTCTTGCAGTCCAAGAAAATGCAATCAACCCACCCCTCTCTCTCGTGTCTTACTTCTGTAACTTTGTCATAGAACTCCAGAAGGTTTGTGACACAGGATTTGCCTTCCATGAATCCGGGCTGGTTGTCGTTTATAATCTTGTTCCGTTCCAGGTGCTCCACCACTCTCCTCCTGATAATCTTCTCCATGACTTTGCATACTATACACGTCAGTGACACAGGTCTGTAATTTTGTGCCTCTTTTCTGTCTCCTTTTTTAAAAATGGGAACTACATTTGCGGTCTTCCATTCCTCAGGTACTTGCCCAGTTTCAAGGGATGTGTTGAAGATTGTGGTTAATGGCACACACAGTATATCTGCTCCCTCCTGAGGACCCACGGGGAGATGTTGTCCGGTCCCATTGCCTTTGAGGTATCAAGGTCACTTAGCAACTTCTTCACCTCCTCCTCAGTTGTGTGCATATCATCCAGCACTTGTTGGTATATTCCCTGTTGGTGTCCCCCTCTGTCCTGTCTTCCCAGAGTCCTTCCTGTCTTCACTGTGAATACTTCCTTAAATCTCATGTTGAGCTCCTCGCATACCTCTTAATCGTTTCTTGTGAGTTTCCCACCTTCTTTCCTCAGCCTGATCACCTGGTCTTTGACTGTTGTCTTTCTCGAAATGTGACTAAACAGCAGTTTCGGGTCAGACTTGACTTTCGATGCTACGTCATTTTCGTACTGTCGCTGGGTCTCCCTCCTTATCAGTGCATATTCATTTCTGGCTCTTCGACTGATCTCCTTGTTTTCCTGCGTCCTTTGCCTTCTGTACGTCTTCCATTATCTAATGCACTTAGTTTTTGCCTCCCTGCACCTTTGGGTAAACCAAGGACTCGCTTTGGTCTGTGTGTGTGTGTGTGTGTGTGTGTGTGTGTGTGTGTGTGTGTGTGTGTGTGTGTGTGTGTGTGTGTGTGTGTGTGTGTGTGTGTACTCACCTATTTGCTCACCTATTTGTGGTTGCAGGGGTCGAGTCCTAGCTCCTGGCCCCGCCTCTTCACCGGTTGCTACTAGGCCCTCTCTCTCCCCGCTCCATGAGCTTTATCAAACCTCGTCTTAAAACTGTGTATGGTTCCTGCCTCCACTACGTCATTTTCTAGGCTATTCCACTGCCTTACAACTCTATGACTGAAGAAATACTTCCTACTATCTCTCTGACTCATTTGTGTCTTCAACTTCCAATTGTGGCCTCTTGTTTCTGTGTCCCCTCCCTGGAACATCCTGTCTTTGTCCACCTTGTCTATTCCACGCAGTATTTTATATGTCGTTATCATGTCTCCCCTGACCCTCCTGTCCTCCAGTGTGGTCAGGCCGATTTCCCTTAATCTTTCCTCATAGGACATTCCCCTTAGCTCTGGAACTAACCTTGTCGCAAACCTTTGTACTTTCTCTAGTTTCTTGACGTGCTTTATCAAGTGCGGGTTCCAAACAGGTGCTGCATACTCCAGTATGGGCCTGACATACACGGTGTACAGTGTCTTGAATGATTCCTTACTAAGGTATCGGAATGCTGTTCTCAGGTTTGCCAGGCGCCCATATGCTGCAGCAGTTATCTGATTGATGTGTGCTTCCGGAGACATGCTCGGTGTTATACTCACCCCAAGATTCTTTCTCCTTGAGTGAGGTTTGCAGTCTTTGGCCACCTAGCCTATACTCTGTCTGTGGTCTTCTGTGCCCCTCCCCCATCTTCATGACTTTGCATTTGGCAGGATTAAATTCGAGAAGCCATTTGCTGGACCAGGTGTCCAGTCTGTCCAGGTCTCTTTGAAGTCCTGCCTGGTCCTCATCAGATTTAATTCTCCTCATTAACTTCACATCATCTGCAAACAGGGACACTTTTGAGTCTAACCCTTCCGTCATGTCGTTCACATATACCAAAAATAGCACTGGTCCTAGGACCGACCCCTGTGGGACCCCGCTCGTCACAGGTGCCCACTGTGATACATCATTACGTACCATGACTCGTTGTTGCCTCCCTGTCAGGTATTCTCTGATCCATTGCAGTCCCCTTCCTGTTATATGCGCCAGATGCTCTAGCTTCTGCACTAATCTCTTGTGAGGAACTGTGTCAAAGGCCTTCTTGCAGTCCAAGAAGATGCAATCAACCCACCCCTCTCTCTCTTGTCTTACTTCTGTTATTTTATCATAAAACTCCAGAAGGTTTGTGACACAGGATTTGTGTGTGTGTGTGTGTGTGTGTGTGTGTGTGTGTGTGTGTTTGTTTTCGTTCTCGTTTATTATTTATATAGATTTAGTCCTGCATATTTTTATGTAATTTTCCGCAGTAAATATTATGAACTAAGGTACAAGATCTCAGTATCAACTATTGGTATTTTTCTCTGCAGGAATGATCCGAGACGTGAGTGGCAGCTACGCCGTCAGTATGTGGGCGCTGGCAGGGCTGCCCACTATCACCTTCATTCTCTGGATCTTCATGCCGGCTGCCGTCCGCTATGACCGCTCGAAATCCAATAATATGTAATACAACTGAAGCCATGGGGGTGTTCGTGGACAGTTGTATTGAGAAGTACTGAGAGAAGAGGGTAGTGGAGGGAGGGTTGTGTCCGACGTTTGCAAGGAAATTAGTTGTGATTTCAAGGAGAAATCCACCATGAGGCCCTGATCCACCAGGCCTCATGGTGGATCAGGGCCCGATCAACCAGGCTGTTACTGCTGGCCATACGTAATCTAACGTACGAACCACAGCTCAGCTGGTCAGGTACTGACTTTAGGTGCCTGTCCAGTGCCTGCTTGAAGACGGCCAGGGGTCTATTGGTAATCCCCTTATGCTGGGAGGAAGGTAGTGTCTAGGACGTTGTCGGCAATGGCTAAGGGTAAATTCCCGGGGCTCGATAGGATACCAGTTGAATTTTATTCTAGAGACTGGGAGTTAATGAGGGAGCTGTTCGACTGAACAGGTTTGGCCTTGTTCAGTCGACGGTAGTTGTCGTGCTCGTCCCTTAGGGACGAGCACGAGGTGTGAGCACAGCTCAGACCTCAGCGACACAATCGTCCTCAAAGATTTGTTAAATTATGCCATTAATTAAGGAAAGATCCTAGAAACAGACAAAACAAATGCGATAGTAATCATAAACAAGGTAGATCATAGTGGGACATGGGAGAGTTAACTGACGCTGCCACGTATGTAGTTGTTGACTATATTCACACAATGTGGGAGTGTCGTGACACAGTGTGTCGTGACACAGTGTGTTGTGACACTGTGTTGTGACACAGTGTGTCGTGACACAGTGTGTTGTGACACAGTGAGTCGTGACACAGTGTGTTGTGACACAGTGTGTCGTGACACAGTGTGTCGTGACACAGGGTGTCGTGACACAGTGTGTCGTGAGACAGGTGTCGTGAGACAGTGTGTCGTGAGACATTTTGTGTCTTTGAGACAGGGTGTCGTGAGACAGTGTGTTTGTGACACAGTGTGTTGTGACACAGTGTGTCGTGACACAGAGTGTCGTGAGACAGTGTGTCGTGAGACAGTGTGTCGTGAGACAGTGTGTGGTGAGACAGTGTGTGGTGAGACAGTGTGTTGTGACACAGTGTGTTGTGACACTGTGTTGTGACACAGTGTGTCGTGACACAGAGTGTCGTGAGACAGTGTGTCGTGAGACAGTGTGTCGTGAGACAGTGTGTCGTGAGACAGTGTGTCGTGAGACAGTGTGTTGTGACACAGTGTGTTGTGACACTGTGTTGTGACACAGTGTGTCGTGACACAGTGTGTTGTGACACGTGTGTTGTGACACAGTGTGTTTTCCACTGTGTTGTGACACAGTGTGTTGTCACACAGTGTGTCGTGACACAGTGTGTTTGTGACACTGTTTTTGGGGACACAGTGAGTCGTGACACAGTGTGTTGTGAGACAGTGTGTCGTGAGACAGTGTGTCGTGAGACAGTTGTGTCGTGAGACAGTGGGGTCGTGAGACAGTGTGTTGTGACACTGTGTGTTGTGACACAGTGTGTCGTCGCACAGTGTGTCATGACACAATATGTCGTGAGACATTTGTGTCGTGAGCCAGTGTGTCGTGAGACAGTGTGTCGTGAGACAGTGTGTTGTGCCCACAGTGTGTTGTGACTCTGTGTTGGGGACACAGTCTGTTTTGACCCCAGTGTGTTGTGACACAGTGTGTTTTGACACAGTGTGTTGTGACCAGTGTGTTATGACAGTGTGTTGTGACACAGTGTGTTTTGACACAGTGTGTTGTGACACAGTGTGTTTTGACACAGTGTGTTGTGACACAGTGTCTTGTGACACAGTGTGTCGTGACGCAGTCTGTTGTGACACTGTGTTGTGACACAGTGTGTCGTGACACAGTGTGTTGTGACACAGTGAGTCGTGCCACAGTGTGTTGTGACACAGTGTGCTGTGACACAGTGTGTCGTGACACAGTGTGTTGTGACACAGTGTGTTTTCACACAGTGTGTCGTGAGACAGTGTGTCGTGAGACAGTGTGTCGTGAGACAGTGTGTCGTGAGACAGTGTGTCGTGAGACAGGGGTGTTGTGACACAGTGTGTTGTGACACAGTGTGTTTTGACACAGTTGTTGTGACACAGTGTGTTGTGACACAGTGTGTTTTGACACAGTGTGTTGTGACACAGTGTGTTTTGACACAATGTGTTGTGACACAGTGTGTTGTGACACAGTGTGTTTTGACACAGTGTGTTGTGACACAGTGTGTCGTGAAACAGTGTGTTGTAACACAGTGAGTCGTGACACAGTGAGTCGTGACACAGTGTGTTGTGAGACAGTGTGTTGTGACACAGTGTGTTGTGACACAGTGTGTCGTGAGACAGTGTGTCGTGAGACAATGGAGGATTAGTGTATCAGGAGTCGGTTCCAGTTTCCAAAGTTCCTGTTGGCAAAGTTCCTGTTGGCAAAGTCGATGAACAGGAATCATCATCATAGCTCTGTTGATGATATTTTGTGTCTTATGCCCAAAAATGTAGATATACACCATTTTCTTGGAAAATTAAATAGCTTAGCCCATTCTATAAACTTTACTGTTGAGTTTGAAGAAAATAACTCATTGCCTTTTCTAGATGTTTTAATTATTAAGGGTAATAATGAATTCAAATTTAAAATTTACAGAAAACCTACAAATAACTGTTCCTATGTCCACTATTATTCCTCGCATCAAGATAGAGTCAAAATGTTTTCTCATCAATGTTTTTGAGAGCTTTACGAATTTGTAGTCCTGAGTTCATAGATGAGGAAATATCCAAAATTTATGAAATAGGTAATGATTTAAAATACCCAAGAAATGTAATTGATAAATCTTTTAAATAAAGTTGGTAGAATTACCGACAATATGTAAAGTAAAAGGACACAAGTGCAACTAATGTGACATTTATTGTGGCAACGTTTCGCTTCCAGGTAATGGCTTGATAAAGCTCCTGGAGAGCGAAACTTTTGCCACAATAAATGTCACATTAGTTGCACTTGTGTCCTTTTACTTTACACAAATCTTTTAAAGTTGCTAGAAACACTTTTAATAATCCAAAAAGGGGCAACCAGCCTTATTCAACTAAAAATTTGTTGGTTCTCCCTTACCATGAAAACTTGGTTGATATGCCCTTCTCTTCTTAAGACTTTTAATATTAAAGTTGTATTCAAAAATCTTGATACAGTAAAAAAACTTTTGATAAAGAATTCCCCCCAAAATGCTGTGGATGTTGTCTATAAGATTCCTTGTAAAATTTGCGATAAAGTTTATTACTTTCAAACTGGTAAAATCTCGAACTAAGTTAAAACAACATAAATATAGCATTGAACTGGACAAGATTCCAATGCTCTATTTATTCATGTAAGAGATTTTAACCATCCAATTGATTTTCAAAAGGTTGAGAAAGTAGTAAACAAGCAAGTCCATGGTCGACAGGAATTAATTTAATCTTTTTTCATAAAAAGCAGTTTTGACAATAATATGAATATTTCCTTTGGTTTATATAAATTAGATCCATTTATAATTAATAGAATTTGGGGAAAAATTTAATAATACACTGGACAAATAATAGCTTGGGGGTGGAGTTGTGCAAAGGACCTATCCAAGTTGGCTCGCCGCGCGTCCCCGTGTTTAAAACCCTTGTGGGGTCTGATAGTGAGGTGCTGGCCCGGGCCCCTTATATAGCTTCCTTGGATGCTTCACTTTCATAGTTCCTTGATAATGTGAGTAGTCACGAAAGCGCTTGGAATTTCTCTATTTCTTTCAGAGTGGTTGTTTTGCATATTTTGAAATCACGTTTACTGTGATCTTATTGCATATATATATATATATATATATATTTTATATATATATATATTATATATATATATTTATATTATATATATTATATATATTTTATATATATATACTTATATTTATATTTATATATATTTTATATATATATATATTACATATATATTTATATATTATATATATATATTATATATAATATATATATATGTATATATATATAATTGTTGAATGCAAATGTATTCATTGTTATTGTATAGAGCTCTATATTCAAAGTATATTGTACAGTGCTCTATATTCAGTGTACATTATACAATGTTCTATGGTGCTCTATATTAGTCTGGTTTAATTAACTATTAAAATCCAAAGCTGCATATAAATCTGAGGTAAATTGTTAACACCAGAGTATGTTCTGTATGTTGTGTATGTTGCGTTGGAGTGTATGTTGTGTATGTTGTGTTGGAGTGTATGTTGTGTATGTTGTGTTGGAGTGTATGTTGTGTATGTTGTGTTGAGTGTATGTTGTGTATGTTTTGTTGAGTGTATGTTGTGTATGTTGTGTTGGAGGGTATATTGTTTTTTGTTGCCTATGTTGTGAATGTTGTGTATGTTCTGTATGTTGTGTTGGAGTGTTTTGTTGTGTTGGAGTGTATGTTGTGTTGGAGTGAGTTGTGTTGGGGTGATGTTGTTTTGGAGTGTTGTTTTGTTTTGGAGTGTATGTTGTGTTGGAGTGTATGTTGTGTATGTTGTGTTGGAGTGTATGTTGTGTTGGAGTGAATGTTGTGTTGGAGTGTATGTTGTGTTGGAGTGTATGTTGTGTATGTTGTGTTGGAGTGTATGTTGTGTTGGAGTGTAGGTTGTGTTGGAGTGTATGTTGTGTTGGAGTGTATGTTGTGTTGGAGTGTATTTTTGTGTTGGAGTGTATGTTTTGTTGGGGTGTATGTTGTGTTGGAGTGTATGTTGTGTTGGAGTGTATGTTGTGTTGGAGTGTATGTTGTGTTGTGTGTATGTTGTGTTGGAGTGCATGTTGTGTTGGAGTGTATGTTGTGTTGGAGTGTTATGTTGTGTTGGAGTGTATGTTGTGTTGGAGTGTATGTTGTTTTTGGAGTGTATGTTGTGTTGGAGTGTATGTTGTGTTGGAGTGTGTTGTGTTGGAGTGTATGTTGTGTTGGAGTGTATGTTGTGTTGGAGTGTGTTGTGTTGGAGTGTATTTTGGGTTTTTGGAGTGCATGTTGTGTTGGAG